GGAAGGAATGGATGCCAGGGAAGCTTGGTAGAGTTCTCATGAAGCACATTGCTATTGCATCTCCTACAACTGGAGATTTGTAGAGTGATATGAGTGCTTGGCCCCCAACTCACAAGTTTGTTTGTTTTTTTTATTAGCTGATGTCACTCAATGCAAACTGAGCAGTTCATAGTGGAGCATGTATGTGCTATTTGGGATTAACCTTAAATAGAAACTTTTATGTTCTGTCAAGGTTGAGACTTTACTTGGATTATATAGGGTTATTTCTGGATTAAATGTCATTAGTTTTGGTTCATTTTAGACTTTTGAAAGCTTTTTCCATTTTTCTTCTTGTTCAGAATCCAAGTTGCTACTTTATGGCAATAATTTGGACTTGGTATAACATACAAATCAAATATGCTCATAGTGTCCTATATTCTAGCCAGTCTTCCAAGGTTAAGTCTTATTATTTTAGTAAAATATAGTCTACAATGCCAATATTTTAGATAAATGGTATAAAACTGTTTTGGACACTCATACAAAGTTTGCAAAGAGGTGAAGTAATTATGGTAAGTCAAAAGCTTCCTTTCATAATACAGAGAAAAATCTATACTTTCCTTATTTCCACTTGGTTGGCATTTCATTCCTAACAACCACTTACATGCTATCATTTTCTTTAGGTCTGAATGTGAGAACCATGTGAGGAAAAACATATAGGGTTCCCAGGAAAAGAAATGAATATATGTCTGAGCTGTTTGGGCCACAATGATTAATGAGATAGATGAGTATTCACCCTTTTGTATTCATTATGACTGTCAAGTTAGTGAACTGAACACGCTCTTGCAAGTCATGTTGACGTTTGAGTGTTGGGAAGATGTAATTCAGTGCAGTTATTCCCTGCTATTTTTTAACATGGAATAGAGAATTGCAAATGATATTTTATACCCAAATGCTCAGTGTAGAACACCCAAACAGAAACCAGAGTCCATTCAGCCTTCTCACACCTTCCTTAGGGAAGTTTCACCTTACATCCGCCCCCAGGAAACAAACTTTTATACATTCAGTAGAACAAACCTTGGACCTCCGCAGGTGGTCACCCCATGAGCTTTTTGAAGTGAATCTTTCAACGAGGAATACAAAGAATAATGAACAGGTTTAATTTATAAGTTGCAAATGAGCCCTCAACTTTTATGCAGAAGTCATAACTTGCTGCATGTATAGCATCTCCCATTCCAAGAGAACCTTCTTCCAAAAGCTACATACTCTTCTTTTTCTGATTTTATAGATCTTAAAAATATTTACAAATTTTGAAAGGGTGGGGGAAATGTACCACACCACAGATGGTTGATGGCAAGGCATAAAGCCTCAGGTTGCCCTAGGAAGAGTGATTAAGCTGTTAAAATAAATAGATGCCTCTGAGAATTAAATGAAAAAAAATTAGTGCAGCGTATATCATGCAGACTGTTCTGTCTACACGGTTCAGTTTCTGGCTCTGGAGGAAAGACTGTGGCATATTGCTGCTGCTGCTGCTGCTACTGCTACCAACTACTAATAATGGCCATTACTCATAGCAGGGTGCTGGAGGTCACTAGCTTGGTCTTTGTGCAGAGGCTCCTACTATTCATCCTGTATTCTCTAAATTGTTAGCTATATCACACAGATTAAGGAGCCAGTGTATTCTTTGAATATGAGATGTAGATTTGACCTTGCATTGTCCTTCTGCATCTTCTGTGATCTTACAAACCTTGGACATAAAACTTTCAAGTAACCTTGTAAAAAATATCTCCAACTGTGCTTTGGTTTTTGAGTTTAAATCATACTCTTCCCATCATTTGTTGGTTTTGCTGTAAAGATGCCTGGGGCATCCAGCTGCAACTGAGGGGCAGACTTGTCATTGTTAGTAATTAGAAGGAGCCTGGTAGATTCAAGGTAGCTCAGAATTCCTTCCTTCTTTCTTGTTTTTTTTTCAAGAAACAGTAAATGTGTTAGTGAAATGTAGTTTGCTGAATTCATTGTAGCTATGTGGCTGTCTTTTTAACCTTGCTGCCTTGCTCATTATACATGCAGTCAGTCACCAAAGACCCTGGTTCCCCACTGTGCTCTTGAAGGCTGATGAAATAAATGCATCAAATATTAGATGAATCTTCTAGTCTTTCTCGCTGTTGGTAACTGCCTTTGAGATGTTAGCTACACTGAGATGGCTACAGATAGAAATAAATGCCTAATACTTCACATATGGGCTAGATAGGCACAGAACAAATACCTGATGCCTTAGTAAATAAATGATTAAATAGAACTGCTATTGCTTATGATATTTCAAAGTTAGCAACTGGACTTTACTAGGGAAATTAAGAGTGAACTATCTCATCTTGTAGATACAAGAAAACTGTTGCATAGAGGCAGATATCTGTGGCCTTTTCTCATTATTGTCTTAGTTATTATCAGCTTGGTAATGCCTGAAGTAGAAAGTAGTTTGATTTTATGTACAGTCTCATTTCAGGAGTTACTGTACTATCTCAAAAAAGTTATTGACACTTGGGAAAAGACTTCTTTTAATCTGGCTTTATTAAAAAACATAGTTATGCTATTTTAGGAAAAACAACATTAGTGCCATGGTGAATTAATGGATGCACTATAATATATTTTGTTATCATCTCAATTAGTAACTTCATAAATTTCAGAGTTTAAGACTGAGATTAACTAGAATCATTAATGTTTATGAGTCATTTATGGTTTCATTTGGATATCCATATAGCTTATGAGCTCTTGTATTAAAAATAAAAATATTTAGCTTTCTTGATCTGTTCTTCAGTGTACTAGCATAATTTTAATCTGAACTTTAGATATGGATGGAATGGAATGGAATTGCATTTTAATGTAAATATGTACAGCAAGGATAAGCAATAAATTTTCTAATTTGTCTTATAGCATAATCATAAATAAACCTTTGGTTTTTTTTCCTTATATGCAAAGTGCACTATCAACCTTGTGAATTCTGTTTTCTGTTATTTTTTCAGTTGATTAATATTTGTGATCTTAGGCAAATATTGAACTAAAGATAAAAGAATAAAAGTCAAACATGAAGAATATTTTTTCTGCTGCCAAGCAACAGGATTGGGAGTTTTCTAGTTAAGAATTGATTATAATCTCAAGATGGCTCCAATCTGGAGAGACCATTCCTGGTGAGCAATTCTGCTCTGCCTCAGACACTGATACTAGAGAACAAGAAATTCAATAATAATACATACAAGATGATGTATATTCATACATGTTGTGGTTTGCGTATTTGCTATCCTCATAGGATATTTGTTAAAGGCTTAATCCCCAGCTGGTAGCACTATTTTGGAAGGTGCCAGAAAGTAGGAACTAAGGCCCAAATGGAGGAAGTAGGTCAGTGGGGAAACTCCCTAAAATGATATACATTGATATATGATATCCCTAAAATTATATACCTATTTTCTGTGGTTGCAAATTATTAATTTATATTGTAAATTCCTATGGGTTTCTTCTTTTTTTGGGGGGGGGAGTCTGGTCGTGGGGCCTGAACTCTAGGCCTGGGTGCTGTCCCTCAGCTCTTCAGCTCAAGGCTAGCGCTCTACCACTTGAGCCACAGCCCCACTTCCGGCTTTTTTCTTTTTTCTTATGTGGTGCTAAGGAATCAAACCCAGGGCCTCAGACATGCAAGGCAAGCGCTCTACCACTGAGCCACCTTCCCAGCCCCATCCGATGGGTTTCTGAAAGCTCTGTTTTAGCATTTATAACTCAACAGATTTGTGTGTGTGTGTGTGTGTGTGTGTGTGTGTGTGTGTGTGTGTGCATGTGTGTGTGCATTTGTACTGGGTTTGAATTCAAGGCTTAGGTTCTGTCCCATGGTTTTTTCACTTGAACACTTCTCCTTGTGCCACAGCACCATTTTGAGCTTTTTTGCTTGTTACCAAAGATAACAATCTCATGGACTTTCTTGCTTGGCCTGGCTTCAAACTATTTTCCTCAAATCTCAGTCTTGTGTAACTGAGATTACAAGTATGAGCCACTAGTGCCTGGCTCTAGACTTTTTTTAAAACAATTTAACACTTGTATTTTTGTATTATTGATGAAGTTCACTATTTTGTGAACTCTAAGGATAGATAATATGCTGCTCTAATATTCTTTAAAAATTAAATGTAATAATTTCCATTGTTTAGTTATTATTTCAATGTAAATGTTTAGTTATTAGTTCAATGTATAACTAAAGAGGTGTTAAGTTTATTCAAATAGATGTAAGAGGAGCATAAGATTCCTGAAGGTTAAAAGTGAAGGTGACTTACTTGAAATCCTTTCTATTCAAACAGATTCATGGGACTTTTACTATTGCAATGTTATAAAACATGTTTTTAACTATCCTAATTTCTGGTTTCTGGTAGGAAACTCTAAATGAGATTCTCATGTGTTTAATGCCAGTGAAAAGGAAATCATCCACTGTGAGAGCTATGCGACTTTGCTTTTCTTAAGTCATTTGAGCAAGTCACCCTTAGGAACAAGTTCCCAAGTTAGAGAATTGGAACCACTTGCTGCCATTCAGCATTGCAAACTTCAGTCAAGGAAACAGGAAATGTGAGAACAGTGAACCTGCGTGTTTCTGACAGCTCCGGACAGCATTATCATAAAGGGTCAACTTGATTAATGTCTTGTGTGCTATGTGAAAATGAAAGCACATGAAAATCTGGGTAAACGTAGCCCCAGTAGTGTCTCACATCCAGACAGTTGTGGCTGTGATGGTAGATTTTGCATTCCCACATCTATCTGGGGGGAGGTCGGTGGGGTTTGCTCATTAGTTGGGATGGGTATCACACATCCATGATGATTACATAGGCATGTAATATTGACCCTATTTCACATTTGAATTTTTAATTAAAAAATTATCTTTAAGTAGTTGTACAAAGGAGTCGCCATTTAACCAAGCAGTTTATGAATACAGTGTATCTTGACCAATGTCTGCCCTTCTACCATTCTCGCCTATTCATCCCCATCACGGATCTTTCCTCATCCTTTTAATTTTGTAGGATATACATTAGCTTCTTGTGCAGGGGCTATGCTAATGTTCTCTGTATCATTCCAATTTTAGTATATGTACTGCTAAAGCAAGTGCTACATATAGAGAGAAAAACCATGGACCCAAGAATAAAACTAAGAAGACGACATTGGGCACCTCCAAATAGTTATCATTAAACTCGTGCTTAAGAGATGCACCCCTGGGAGTTTGGGGATATGAAAATATAATGTTAGGAGACCCCAACATTGAAATGTTGAGACTAATTCAGAGCCACAAGAGTGGTGGAGAAAGGTAACACTGATGTCCATGGTGTATGCTGGCAACAGACCTCCACAGGACCTCAGGTAGAGCTCAACATTCTCCCTCTAAGTTAGAAAGTATTAATTCACTAGTGATATAGGACTTTGAATTAGCTCTGGAAGAGGACTGATCACCCTTTTTGTTCTAGCCATCTTTAGGTTATAAGATGCAGATGAGATAGAGAGGGGAAAAGCGATAGTTACCAAGAGTAAAAGTTACTTTGGCCTAAGTGAGCCAAAAAGGATTATATAGGCTGTAAACCAAAACCATAAACTCAATTAAATTTGCTTTTTTTAGCAACTGATAACATTTGAAAAATGACGGAAATAGATTGAGAGACACTAAGGCATGGAAGGGAGAATTTACAGAGGCAGGTCTGAAAACAGTGGTTAGAGTGAAATGAAGTCATGCTGTACTTCTTTTAAGAAAACAGTTTCATCTCATGTTCAGTGCCTGTTTCTTTCTCTTAGTTGTTATGATGAATAAATGATTGAATCCAGGGATAATGAATAAATGAGTGAGCACCTTTCACTCACCAACTACTGAGTTAAACTCATACTTTGCTGCATTTAAAATAAAATCAGAGCCTCAGTGAGCAGATGGTAGAGGCTTTTTATTTCCCAAGAGACAAAAAGCTACCCTTCAGCTCAGTAGCTGGGGGGCTACTGTCTGCCCCCTGGGTAAATCAGCCCCAGAAAGTCACAAGTTCTCAGGGAAGCCAGTATTCAGCGTGACATTTTTAATTTTACTTAGATATAAAAAATAACTTTTCAGTGAGCTATATAATAAATACTTTTATTATATAATAAAACTTTTATTATAGATTATATATATTATATTATATATTTTATGCTTATAAATACTTTTATTATATATTATATATATTATAATACTTATATAATAAATACTTTTGTATGATGTTTTTACTTTCATTTAAATTAGTAAAAACAACAATAACAACAACAGAACAACTCTGAATTCTAGAAAGAACAACCAGCTTTGCCAAAAGGGAAACCAGGCAAGAAAAAAAGAAGTTTAAAATCTCAGTGCATGGAATTAGCATTGACAGAGTCTAAGTTCAAAACATATTTAAACTTGGTGACATGAACTAAAATATGCCTCTGCCCTTTATGTGTCATCTTTAAAAAAGTATTGCTTCAAGGAAAGCAACTGGAACACAGTACTTTCTGTGGCTCGATGGTGTGGAGTATTTGCTGTTAACAGAATCTCATTGTTTGCAAGGCACATTTTTATTTCCTAATGTGAATGTAAGATACCTCCTTTGGGGTCAGAAGCATGCATAAAGATATATATCATTTGCCTTTTAACAGAGCTTTTTGGTGACTCTACAGTTTTAAATTGTTGTAAATGCCTCAAATATTCCTTACTGAATGTTTTAGCTATGTCCTTTGCAAATATGGATGGAAATAATTATAGTGAGGATGGCTTCATATGATGATGTCACTCTGGAGAAAACCTGCACCGCAAGGAACATTTCCAGTAAAGTATGGCAGAAACTGCAGGGTAATCAAAGTGCAAATTCCAATTTATTTAAGCAATATTGTTCTTGCTCCTCCATTTCACAAAGCTGTCCTTTCTCATTAAATTTTTGAAAGAGAAGGAATGAATTTTACCAGCACACATTTGAATGCTAGTTGACCTTTGTGAAAACTGCCTTGAACACGGGCATCAGCTGTCTTTTCCCACATGTGTGGACAAAAGGAAGAAATTGAGGTTTATAAGGAGTAAACTGAATATATGCAAGACTTGATGCCATCCAACTAAGCTTTTATTTGAAGTGAAGTTTGTGTGTATTGAGGAGAATATATTTGTCGATGGCCTTGAAGGGCTTGAACAAGATATGTGTCTGGAGATTTCTGTGTGCTCTGGATGGACCCTCCAGGGACTGGCTTTAATTTGATCAGGCCGTTGACGATACACTGTCTCTAGTACCTTTTGCTGTATGGTAATAAGTAACTAAATGAGTATAACTAGATTTGGTCACAGCTGTATCTTGGTGAAAGTTGGACAGAGTTCAGTGCCTTTGATTATTTAATAGTTTGTTTTGTTTTACCAGATGTTTATTAAACATCACTGAATAACCAGTCTACTGGGTAGTGGGATTACAACATTAAATAGACTAGTTCTGCCCTGACTGTGCTCATCATTAGGAGGAATATTCTTATTAAGTAAGCAGAAAACTATAAAACAGTGTGGTCAATTCTGTGCTGTAAATAGGCCCAGGTTCTTTAGAGTGCCCAGAAGGGATCCTGGCACAGAAATGGCGATATCTGATTTGAGTTAATAATGGGATAATCAATCAGGAATGGGGAAGGTGAAAGAAAGTCAAAGTTAAAAGATCAGCGTTTTCAAAGCACCAAGTATAAGGAATTATGGGGAACATGAAGAAAAAGGCACTTTGCTTTAGCTGTGAAGACAATATATGACAATGAGTAAAACATCCAGTGGGAAAGAAGGAAACAAAAATTTGAATTTGTCTTTGCCATTTCATTAAACATACATTGATTGTGTTGTAGAGATAAAGGTTAGTAATTGATAGAACTTCTCTTAGAGTATTGGAAGTGGAGGGGGGAGGGGAGGACTGTCTCTGACACTTGTGCTTTGGAAGACCTGAATTTTGTTATGTACATGTTACAAAGGATTTATACATGTGTGTTATGTGTGTGGCATGAGTGCCATATGTGTGTGTTGTATGTACGTGCCAGGTGTCGTGTGTGTCATATATACAGAGCAAGACAAGTATGTCGGTTACATGTGCATCATGTGTGACATACATGTCAATTCTTTCATGTGTAACATTTGTGGTGCGTGTGTTATTTACGACGTGTCAATTTCAGCATGCATGTGATTACTGATGTGCATCATTTTGACCTATGTGATGCTGTCAGTGTGCATGTCAATTTTGACAATTTCTCACTGATGCTGGATTATTCTTTAACAGGCTCTCCGTGGTCTTGCATATACTAGAGTTTACCTCCCTGATTTTATATCTCTCAACCACTGAAGCCTTCCATGTTTGTGCGATGGTGCTCTTGTAAGAACTAATTGCTTATATTCCTATCATGCATTCTGTTCTCTCAAAGTGTAGCTCCACACCAGTAGTGACTCTCAGTCTACCATGACAGAAACACCATACAAGCCTCTCCTCCTCCTCCTTAACTTCTCATCCCTTTTTGAGATGCATTTCCTTTGTGAAATGAGCTGTCACTTAGTTTGCCAGGCGTTGGCCTTCTAAATCCAGATGTAGAGTTGTGAAGGCACTTAAAGGTAAATTGTCCTGGCATAATTGTGAATCATTATTTAGAAAATACAAAGACATGGTGTTGTAGTTGTCCATTTATTTGCCTGTATTCCCCCACTAAGCTGTAAGTATTAGGTAGCAAGAGCTATATCTATCTTGTTCACTTTCTAAGAAACACATAATCTGGTAATAAGAGACAATATATTTTTGTCAAATCAGAGCACAACCTTAGTGACTTTTGACTTTCCAGGGACTCTGTGATATAACTTTAAGGTTGTTAGGTTGTAGTCTCTGGTAAGTGAAATGTAGCAAAGCCACATTAGTAAGTCATGTCTCACAACACCTTTAAAAACCATTCAAATTTCTCCCAGAGTGCTGAAATCATTCCTAGGAATTTTCATGAGACATATTAGAGTTCAGCTAGTGAATGCTAATGATGTCTTACTTTTTATATATAAAAATGAAGAAGATTTGCTAAAAGTCAAAGCCAATATTACCTTCCTTGACATATCATTATTCCTTATCCTTGGCCAATATTTACTAAGAGCTTCTTCTGAGAATAACATGGTAAGATACGTGTTAAGAATAAATTGTTAGGTATAAATACCATTAGAAAGTCCAGGTAAATGTCAAGGTAAATGTAAGAAATGTGGGATTAGATAGAACACACACACACACACACACACACACACACACACACACACACACACACACACACTAATCTTAAGCCTTTGTAGTTTTATTTTTACAAATATAGATTGATATGCTTTTTAAGTATCATACAGAAGATAGCTTAAATGTAAATCAACTGAAATTAAAAGAAAATGTTTCTTCTGCTAGGACATTTTTTTCTTTGTTTCTCCTTGCATTACAGGTTTCCACTAATCATCACAGCTGTTTTTGCTGTTACTATATCCATTCTCTCTTTGCCTCCATCCAATTAGAAATAGTGCTTGAAAAACTATGTTGGAAAAAATCCTGGTCAAAATGTTTTTAAAGTGACATAGTTAAATGTGATTCCCTTGGGAGCATTGTAATACTGGTTAAAATTAAGAAAAGACTTGTTGAGATAATTTGTATGACTTCCTACTTGGTTATTGTGAAAGTATGGAAAATATTACATGTTGATAAGCCTGTCTTCAAATTATACAATAGTCAACTTCCTAAAAATAAAAAAAACACATGTATATCTGATTACTAATGTAAAGTATTATCCTGTTGTACATTTTGATAATTTATTAAGGGATAGAAAATAACTCATTAGGTCATATGGATTATGTATGGGTTATTGTGAGAACTGTAGTAATGTTACTCTAGTAATGTGATAAGTAGTAGTGTCATAACTGTAGTAAATATTTGATACTTATACATCCTGGCTTAATATTTTTTTAAATTTTGATTGACATATTTACATATTCATGGATAATTATAATATTATAATACAGACCTATTTATCACCTTAAACATTTATCTTCTTTTTAATGATACTGGAGTTAATTTTTCAAGGCCCATGCTTAGGCAAGTGCTCTGCTGC